GGAAGGACCCCGGGTGAGCCAATTACAGTGTGGCAAAGGTTCGACTGTGTGAGATCACAGTAGTCATGAATCGCTGTTTAGGCGTAGCCCGTAGACCCGACTGCTCCTCCTTCCCCCCCCCCCAATAGTTCGGTACCACAGCTTTTAAAGATTTTTGTAAACATCATCGTCAGTGTGGGTAACACCTAGAGCAAAAACTTTATAATTCCCGCTATCGGAGCAAACATTCTGAAACCTCCATTGCTATCTTACAAGACCAGCATTTCATGACTTATCGGCCACGAGGCCCCAAAAGCAGAGGTCCCGGCAATGGCGTGGAGCTGCAACAGAACAACCCCTTCTATATCATGTGCACTTAGGTTCGCCCAGGTAAGAAGGGGGAGGGTAGTTGGAGCGGTGTGCAGGGTCTTCTGATGATATAGTGGTAATTGCGGGAGACCAAGAACGATGCAGGTAATTTTTCTGAACGCTCCATGGAATAAAGGGGGTCCTGGTCACACTTTTTCACCAGTTTTTCAATCAAAGTCTATTTGTAAGGGTTACTGACGTCCTAATCATGAATATGGTACTAATTATTCATGCTAACTCCATTTTGCGCGAATTTTGAAACGTCAACTCGAAATGCAAAAATTTGTCACCACGAGGAATCGAACTAGGGACCCCTTTTCTGGTATTCAGAGAGCCGTTCAGGAAAAATGAACCATGCTTCTGTGGTCCCATATGTGCCCCAATGTCATGCAAGAAACCATTTCGAATTGAACATGAAACATGAATGTTCGAACATTTTTGGAACCTGAACCGACCTTCCTTGTGAGAGCTCTGAGAACTGACTCCTCTCCCTTATTCTACAAGGTTATTTCGGGACGCATAGCAACGTTACACCAGACGTTCTTGCGTACAATGCACACCGATCCTACTCAAAAGTCGAGCTTGACCCCGCAGACTACGTTTGCTTCGTTCCGAAGTACTTCTATACCGCAAGACTCAGTGATTCAGTCATCTGTAGTGTTATCGGGGCACTCTCGCATTAGTGTCTTTGTTTTCTTCCTCCTCAGGATTAGCTAGTAGCGCGGACACAAAGGCATGAGCTTTTCTTTTCTAGCTATCCGCCTTGATGACAAAACGTGAGTTTGTTAGACGATTTCACCTAGTAGCCCACTTGGATGATTCACCAGCCCCATGACATGAGCCGACAACAGGGTGAATAACGGTCGAGGATTCCTCGACCATCGTTTTGCTGTGCGAGAGTAGAGCGATAGTGAATGTACGCGCGGAGAGCACAGACGGCTCGCGGGTGGCGAGAGTGAATATCCGCGCGCGAGAACGTAAAGGATCAGGCGAAAATCCTCGACGCGCCGTTGAGGAATCCTCAAGCAACTCCTCCCTGGTCCCAATCAGTTAAATGTGTTATTATTAGGTTGGAAAGAAAGTTCTGCAACACTCTTTCCAAAATTTTCTTTTTTTCTGAAAAATTCATAGGTAACATTTATGACTACCAAATGATAGAGCATTCTCAAGGCTTCAATCCACGAGGTGGATATAAGTTCTGCAGTCAGTAGTTATCCAAGAAAATTCAAAAAATCTCGACCACTAGCAAATCCGTACTCCGAGTCACTGTCTAGTACAAATGTCTTCATATCTATGGATTCGTGTCAAAGACCAGCACTATCTGCAATAGCTTCAATAGGCATGTCGTTCACCGCTACGACGTGTTTCACCTTTACCAGCGCTTCCGATCTTTTCGATATTTTTATAAGAAGCCAGCAGCGTCCCTCACACTCCATTACAGGTAGGGCTCTTACAGAAGCTCCACTACATACCCTTCGTTATGGGCACCATTGTGTAGGTAGAGGCCTAGGCTGTGGAATACCAGAAGCTGGCCGAGGCAGCTCGTCAAGAGCCCTCGTACCGCGGACAATATTCATTTCTTTCATGACATTGCGAATCGTCATGATCCGAAAATGAGCCCGGTAAAAAATTCTGGAGTTGCGGCAAGATTTCTTTCCTCTCTTAGCGTAATCCACTGGTTGAGCTGTGAATGAGTGCAACCTATCCTGGACCTTTCATCATCATCTTGATAATGAAATAATCAGACGATCAACTCCGGCTCGAAAGTGAGGTCGCCTCCTTTCTCGACCCGCACTCCGCTGGGTTTTGGCGAAGGAGCATCAAGAAATTTTCTGAGCGATGGAGACAAGTGGTGGACACTCATGGTAGATATAAGACCGGTCAGGAGTTGTAACCAAAAAAGATAAAATTAAAATCAAAAATTTGAAAAAGTGTTGCAGGACTTTCTTTCCAACCTAATATAAGTGAGAGCTGCCAATCGCTGATCTCAAAGTCGCGAATACGAAAAGCGTTCAGTCACGAAGCGGTATACAAAGTGCTGGTTAAAAATGGTGTGAAACTGTTTTGAGATGGATGAGAATTCAAGGAAAGAGATGAAGTGTCATAGTTTTTCACTTTTAGATATCTCGTAGGTGCGGAGCAAGTGTAGTGTATAATGGGCTGCTTACGGCCCCGCGGTCAGGGGAAACGGAATCCTGAGTGCGCAGATCCAAATAAGAGCAATTTCGTTTTCGGGGTCGCATTAATTCGGTACAACTTTTCTTGAGAATAAAAAACACTACTTGTAATCGGAATGAATCCGCGCAAGTCATGTATAAGGCATTCAAATTGCGCTGTGAGCTGGAATGGAGTAGGTATGCGTGGCGCATCCCAAAACGGGGACTGTATCAACCGAGTGCTTTATTCCTCCCCAGTGAAACTCTGAAGGCATTCTCATTACTACTTAAAATAGCCACGATTCGGGAAGTGACAACTACCTATCGCTTCCGCGCAATACGAATTCGTTCGTGGTCGATTTTCAGCTGTTTTGATCCACAGTATCAGGAGGTAAGGCAAACTGTCGCTGTTACGATTCAAAAGTTGATCGAGTGTCCGCACACTTGCAAGAGAATAGGCGACTGTCAGACTCATGCTTAATCTAGCGATTCGCTTGCGAGCACAGTCGGTCCACGGCAAATCGAGCGATCGTGTTAGCGACGGCGAAGCTTAAGCGAACGGTTCGACCTTTTCGCAAAGTCTGACATCGGGGTAGAGGAAAAGGGTGTCACAGGCAAACCTTCGTCTCCCGCACAGAATCCTTCATCTTCATGAATTTACGACCCCCGTTCGCACTGTTCTAATACGATCGACCCAGGTCCCCAATTACGACCCCCTCCAAAAACTCAAATACGATCCCCCTGTTGGGGATTGCACAACAAGCGGTTGAGCCCGTCCATATGGCAAAAATATGCTATGTTTTTGGTGATCATTTCATTCTCTTTTGATGTCTGTCTACAGCGTTCCTATACAGACTATCCTATGTCACATAACTTCGCAAATAAATCCAATAAAAAAAACGAAGTAATCCGGAAGAGGATACTAAATATTGAGATCTCGGTGTGTAAAAACTTGGTGGTTATTTATAAGGTCTTAAAGCGTAATCAGAAAACCAGCTATCCGTAATGTTTCGTTTATTCAAGTCTTTTCCAATCTTCAATGACTTTGGAATGATATTCATTCATACGACGTTGTGAAAATCCTCAAGAGGCCATTATCCACCCTACCCCCAGACTATGGGGAAAAGGGTCACTTTAATTTTCTTCGTCTATCCCACCAGAATCGCCGTTCTCAAAAGGGGAACTGTGTCGTTGAAACCCAATAAATTTGGTGTGCGTTCGCAAGTACGGAAAGCGCTTCTCCGCTTTTCGCTGCGGGATCACAAAGTCCACCACTTCTGAGGAGTGGCACAGGGTAATGGTCGAGGAACTCCTAGACGTTCTTGCACTGTACGAAGAGTTAGTTGCGAAGGTGAACGTAGCGCGGACGAGCACAAGACGGCTCACGGCTATGACGAGTGTGAATTTGTTCGTGGCAGGAGTGGTGATATCAAGCGAAAAATTCGAAAAGCGTTGAGGAAATCCTTCCGACGATATGACGCTGAGTAGGTTTGAGTTTTTTGTGGCAGCGGAAACTTTCGCTTGTTGCGAAAAGCTGAAAGCTCGCTTTGTGTACTAAAACAACTACACCAATAAATTCAAACTTTTGTTCCTAGCGTTGGGGAATGACTAAATACACAGCCCAGAACTTCAAGGTGCTGCCATATGAACGACGGCTGAGATGGTCTACGGACGCCACAGCAGCTACGACTTTTTAAGAAATAACTGAACTGGTGTTGTCGATGAATGTGTTGTCGATGAACAAAGCGCGAAAATCGGGGGTAGAGGAAACGGCAACGGCTTCATCGATGACGTTCGGTCCTGTTCAGTCACACTCGCCCGCGCGACATTCGATATCGCCGCCCCGCGAGCCGTCTTGTGCCTCTGTGCGTTCATTTCGCTCTTTGCGACACTACTGGCACTGTAGAGAGCGTGTCGAGGTCCTCGATCCGTTAATACTCCGGATCGATGAAATACAAGGGCCATCTCCCTCTTCATTTTCCATCCGATACCAAAAAACTAACCACGAGAAGGTTCGTTCCCATTCTTTGCAGTGAATGATACTCATAGGTTTCCTTCTTTGGCTTCTCCTTCTTCGATGGGGTGAGCTTCTCGGAAGAACATCTCCAACTAAATCGAAGACAATCTGAAAACACAATCTATAACTCTACTGTGTTGTCGTGTCGTGTCTGTCCCTGTCAATGGCACTGCTGCCGTCAGCTGCCGTTCAGCCCGGCCCAGAACAGATCAATCCATAACAAACTCGTAAACAATGGGCATCTCGAAGCTATGAAGAACAAACCTTTTCCTTTGTGGAGTCGAGGCCTTCAGCAACCGGGAGGGTCTTATACAGCTGCTAAGAGTCCGCTTTCAGCCATGCCACAGGTAACCGGCCCGGATCGATTCCCGATATTGATCAGTACCAGAGGATCAAACGCTGATTTTCCCGCCCTCTGCTGTCTTATGGCTGTTTAATGGGGCGGGAGATGGATCTCAGTTGTGTGTTAACCCTCCGTAATGTACGGCCTGTTCTTGCTGTTACTCATTATTGCTGCACCTGTCGCATCAAATGCGAAACAGTTACCCGACAAGTTCTACGGCAAATTCGACTTGGATCATTCAGAGAACTTTGACGAATATTTGGAGGCTAAAGGTAAGTCTTTTCTTTGCTCATTTTCTCGCCTCAAAGTTTCCGCTGGATCGCTTTTCGTTCAGGTTATGGCTGGTTCACACGCAAATTGGTAACTTTTGCTACGTTCAAGAAAGAATTCAAGAAGAGCGATAAGCCTGGAAAATTCGACTATGCTAATTTGACTTCAAAGAAGAATGTTTACTATGATAATATCGAACTAGGAAAGGAATTTGTTGCTGAAGGCCTCGACTCCACGAAGCATAAGGTTCGTTCAGCATAGCTTTCAGATGCCCTTTGTTTACGAGTTTGTTATGGATTGATCCGTTCTGGGCCGGGCTGAACGGCAGCTGACGGCAGCAGTGCCATTGGACAGGGACAGACACGACACGACAACACAGTAGAGTTATAGATTGTGTTTTCAGATTGTATTCGATTTGGTTGGAGATGTTCTGTTTGAGAAACACCACCCCATCGAAGAAGGAGAAGCTAAAGACGAAACTTATGAGTACTCATTCACTACAAAGGATGGGAACGAGTACCTTCTTGTGGTTAGTTTTTTTTTATCTAGAATGAAACGTGAAGAGGCCAAGATGACACTCGCAAATTTGATCCAAGATAACACCGGCTTCTGTCAAGAAGTCGTAGCTACTGTAGCGCGCCAGAGACGTGATTACGGAATTGAACGGTGGCGACAGGCGATTGGCAGCAGCATCTACGTTGCCAAAGATTATGTCTTAAGTTTCTGGAAGGCTAGCTTCCGAAGATTTTCATGCTTTCGAAATATGGAAGAATTCACAATATGGCTTTGATGCGTGTGGGCGCTGCTATGGCTAAAATCACCATTCTTTGAGCATGGCCATATCAAGCACATATGTCAGAATAGGCTAGAAATGTTACTTCTTGACAGGGGCGGAGGGTGAGAAGGTCAAGCTCAGCGTTAGGCCGATGTCATAGTTTGCGAATCGAGCGATTCGCTAGCGAATCGCTGGATCCGAGCGTTGCGCCAGCGAATCGAACGTTGCACCAGCGAGTCGAACTATGTACCAGCGACTCAACACTGTTTGAAAGTGGCGGGACCCAACGTTTAAAGGAAGCTCGCCACTTTCAGACATGTGATCCTTTGAAGTAATTTCCTTCGAACGTTTCGGTTCCTCCGCTTTCAAACAGTGTCGAGTCGTTCCGTCGTTTCGCTGACGCAAAGTTCGATTCGCTGGCGCAACGTTCGGATCCAGCGATTCGCTAGCAAATCGCTCGATTCGCAAACTATGACATCGGCCTTACGAGGCTGTTGTCACTCGACGTTTGGGAGTCAAGACGAGAAAAGAAGGCGTCTCTGCTTTTTTTCTTCCTTTGTAAGGCTTAGCCTTAGTACCCCTAAAGAAGTACACAGAGTTAGCGATGCTACTTATATCAGTGCGGACTGATGCGACCAGTGGTCCAATACCCTTATCACCTATAGTAGCAGTTCGAACACGTCAAAATTTGAATAAGTCGTTGGAAGAAAAGTAGGGATTAATTACTCTATAGATGAATTCCTCTTAGAATCCCAAGTCATGCGGTGATTTTTCAATGCTGTTCTTTTTCCGCAGCAGTAAAATCATTCGCTGTTGATCATTTGTTAGTCGTATGACTTATGTATTAGCAATGAACACACTCGCGAAAGCTGTGCAACAGCCATTTATCTCAGCCAGGTGATCAGATCGATAGGCATGCATTTCTGTTAGCCCGATCGTTCTTGCCGTATCCGCCTAAAAGGAGCCAACATAATGACCAATCTTATTCCGATGTTTTTGAATAGGCTGGTTCGAGAAACGTTGCTTGTACATAAGCTGTTGCTGAAACGTTGATTATTTTCCATTCAGGTAGAGTGTCGTCTGGTGACAAGTATGTACAGTCGATAGGGCTCGAAAGTCTATATACGCACGCCGAAACGGCGAATTGGTTTTTAGGGCACCGGCACAACAACTAGCATTTCGCTATCCCTCACTGTAACATTAACGCTAGCTCGCGAAATACGGACCCCCCCCACCCACCCTTCGTTGGACTTTGTCCAACGGACGGTTGACCCTTGTACAGAAGCATGGCCTTCGATTCACTTTGTCTATTACTTATCTGTGAACAGTGCCAACTGCAGGAGCAGTGTTTCCCACCCATTTCAGAGTCATCATGGTTGTCACTTGAATTGTTGGCCACCTGTAAGAAGCGTTGATAATCACCGATCTTAAAGGCAGTGGTCGCGATAGTGGAAGGCGGTGATTTGATGACGTCAATGAACGCCTTGGTACAGAGGCCTTACGCGGTTCCGGCTATAAACCCAGCGCGCTGGGTGCTAATTTAGTTGGAGGGGACCACGCGGCGGCGCGGCGCTTTGCTCGCCTGGCATCTTTGCGTACTTCGGGAAATCCGTGAGCCAGGGGGACTGTAGGCAGTCTAGGGGGGTGGGGGTGAGGGCAGTCACTTGACATGCGTGAAAAGCTGGAATGTTCGAGTTTACACTGTCTCGCTCGAGAGAGCCCAGGTGAGCAGACTGCCGCGCCGCCGCGTGCCCCCCCCCCCCAACTAAGTTAGCACCAAAAACTTGTTAAGCTCGTATAATTTACGGCTAATGACAGGTGAATGCTTTTTTTTTTTCAGAAAATGGAAGCTAACGGAGTTGTTGGCAAGCGGTTCTACAAACGTATTTGAACAATTGTCTGTATTATGTGCCTAATTTGAGAATGTTTACAATGGAATGTTCAGTGGTGAATGGTTGACTGGATGCAATTTCTGTAAGAACCAAAGAAATAATGTAATCAGTTGTACACGAATAAAATGTTTTTGCAGTCGCACAATTTAACCCCAATACTTGCAAAGGTCGAACTCATGAGACTTGGGAATAAAACTGGCTTCAAAGAAGACCTCGTTCGGAAACGAGAAACTGCCGTCAGAACCCAGTGGGCTCCTCTCGCTCATCGTTGAGATGGTGGTAGTTTTGAATTGTGAAAGCGAAAAATTACGTTCCGGGGTATACGAGGCCATTCCCGTGGACGCTGCCGACTGAATTGCTGCGAATGGCCATAAACTGTATTTGAAAATAATTCGAGGAATGTTCCGACTGTACCTGAGCCTGAACAACCCAGTTGTAATAGTTTACTAGGTAAGCCAACCTATCCGTACTTGATTGACGTATTCCCTTCCGCATCTAAAGCCGATGTCAGACTTTGCGAATCGCGCGATTCGCTAGCGTCTGCGGTCGCGTCGCGGCCAGTGAATCACTCAATTGCTGGTACTACAACGCGACCGCGGACCCTAGCGAATCGCGCGATTCGCAAAGTCTGACATCGTCCTAAGAAGGAAATTTGATTGAATTAGTTAATTAGTTCGTGTCTCGGAAGTCGCCAGCATGAAGAACGGTCCTATTGGAGAGGTAGTCAGGCAGCATTAGGCTGGATGGATTGACTCTGTAAGAACTAAATGTATAGCGACAATGTGAGAATTCAATATTCATCACGAAAGACTACATGAACTAATGGAGGACGCCAAAGCCTTAACAAAAGCAGTAGAGAAGCGGCTAACACAACTAAACGTCGACTAATAGGTCTAACTTCGAGGCGTCAAAGAGGCGTAATCTTCACAATTCCAGCGTCAGAGCCATGTCGAAGATAAGGATATTCTGGTTCACGTCGATGAAGCGAAGCACCGATTTGCTGGGCATTTGATCAGAGGAGGAATGATGGACGATGGAGCTGGACGACCCTGCAGTGGTCCCCTAACGAGAAGAAACGGCTTCTTAACCGCCCTTCTATACGTTGGACGGACTCTGGAATTCCACAACAACAAGTACTACCCTGTGTCCCTAAAAAGAGGATTGCACGATACAGTGGAAAGTCAAAGAAGCGTAAGGTTACTTGATGGAAAGGTAGGCGAAACCCATAAGTGTGGACAGACACGCAATTCGCAGCGAAGGAATGCCCCGCGATGTAGCATGGCCCTCCTCGCGGCGCTATCGGCGCGGCACGCCCACCGACTGGCTAACCACTCGCCGCAGGTCTTTAGCAATTCATCAAAAGCAATAAAGAGCAATTAGAAGAAGTTAGGACCCACGCAAGGCCAACCGCCGTGCTGAGTAGCGTGCCGTCCAAGTACCGATGTGCTCGAACTGACGAAATTTAGATCGAGAACAATTTCCGTGGGCATTACAAACACAAGAAGTTATAACCGCTCTCTTCTCTTGCTGCGCTTACAATCAGTTCCTTCACTCGTACCTAATTACCAACTAGGTCTTGAACAAAATTTGCAACCATGTGACACACCTTAAACTGAGAAGACTGCAACGTTTAAGCAGTGTTACTTGAAAAAACAAGACCGAACAAAATTGACAGTTCAAATTTCTTCAAAAATGAAATAGCATAGCAATTACCATTTGCAGCAAAAGAGAACAACGTGCTGTCATAACACAATCGAACCTCAACTGTTTTGTAGGCTGAACTGTAAGAGAATTGATTTCTACTGCAAATACTCCTAGTCAAGCATTTTCCTAACAGTAGAGGCTGATAAACTCTGGCAACACTCAAAAATATGTACGGAAACTAAGGGTACCGAGTTTATATTTATGCTGATCCGTGCAAAATGCATACCAAAAAAAGAATAAATATTTAAAAAAAAAACACGCGATCAAATATCTCGCACTTTACCAGTACATAGTAAAGAAAAAGCCGTTAACATTAAAAGAGAATTTCGCATTTGAAAATAAATTTGAAATGAACAGACTCTGATAAGCAGATAATGACTAAACACGGAAACAATACTATTTACTTCAAGCACAAAACATAGTTCGAAGACAAGACAAAAATGAGGATAAACGGTGATCAGAGACGCAAAACCTACAATTTGCTTGCTGCATCCTTATCCAAGAAAAAGCGAAGCTTCTTGCTGAATGGTCGCACGAAGGAGGCAGGAACATGTTGAATATCAGAATCGAGAACGCTCTGAAGATAACCTCTTAGAATACTCCTCATCCGCTTCAACTAAGCATGAGCAGTGTTTATCTGAGGTCGTTCCGATGCAGAGCACCAAAGGCAGGAGGAACATGTCGGAATACGAACGAGGATTAAGGTGGGGGTAGTAGCTCCGGGGTGAGTGAACAAATACTTTTCGAACTAGAGAACAAGAAATTTGGGTATTAGGCGAGTCAAGTGAGTACGCCGATTTTTGATATAACCTGCTCACTTCAGATATGCTTACCCACCTCGGAATCCTTTCTTTTACCTAGGCAAAGCCTTAGAAAAGGGAGGAAATCTGGGATGGGTAAGCACGTTTTCTGTGGTGGGCAAGTAATAACAAAAATCAGCATGCTCACCCTACTCACATATCACTCAAATTGGTCTACGCACGTACGAGCACCTGCTCCTCCGAGAATCCTCACCCTCACGGCTCCCAACTGCATCGCGCAGTACCAAAAGTCATACATTACAGAAATTGGAAGATATGGTGCGAAAACTCAGCCTCGACCACAAGTACAAAATTGGTTTTTCCAAAACCTCACACCAATCATTCAAACTAGAAGCCCCAACTTTTTAGGTAAAGTACGCAAATATTGCAAAAATAAAACTGACCTTGATCATTGAAGCCTTTTCTTCTCCGGTGACAATGAATGCAACATTTTTGGCAGCATTGAGAACAGGAAGAGTAAGAGAGACTCGTTGTGAAGGTGGCTTTGGTGAGTCAGTGATAGCGACTACCCAAGTTAACAGATCATTCTGTAAAAAACACCTTTTAGGATAATCAGGACTGCTAGGTTGTTGGTGGCCCCGTGAGACGCTAAACTAAACCGTGGTTGGAAGACCTGGCTACACCAATCTACAACGTGGGCACGTTCGATCGAAAATACTATCCAAAAATAGTACTTGCTTGCACGATAAATAACACAGTGCTGTTGTACGTACTCCACGGCATCTTCGTTTTCAAATATTTTTCCGGAACCAGCATTAGTGTTTCAATAATTTCGTTAGTGCCAGTGGGCAATACTCTGGATCCAGTGGTTTCGACAACAATCAATTAACAAAAGAAACGTAAATTGGGCAAAACCATGCCTACTTGCGGCAATTTGACGCGCATGCGCGTCATGCTGTCGTCAACGTGTTAAATCAATTAGCAACATTTCATATTCGATAACGTGCAAACACGGTTGATGATGCAAAAAAGGACAAGAAAGGAAGGGCACAAAGTAAACAAAATTATACTTCATCTGAAAATAAAGGCGTACTCAGCTTTTCTAAAAACACGTATATGTGGTGAGAGGGACACCCAAGTGGTCGAGAGGTGGCGGGTTCGATCCCTGCCGAGGCTTGACCATGCCCTAGTCCAAGTAGTAGCGTTAGGGCCTGGTTCGACAGGCCGGCTGATGAAGACCCCAGTCACACAAACATGTCTAAAGTCGAAAGATATCAGTGATAAAGCTAGGACGTCACCCGGAAGTGGCGCGCAGAACCCCCGCCCGAGTTCTGTGGTCAGTATGCGAGGGCTACCGAGGAGTGAACGGCCTCGGCCAAAGAAGCTAGTTCGAATTGGGACTCTGAACGTAGGATCGCTAACTGGGAAGTCCCGAGAGGTTGCTGATCTGATGACGCGCAGGAATCAAGTCCTAGGCCTTCGAGACGCAAAGAAAAGAAGCCAACTATGAAACTATAGCTAACTATAAAGAAATTGGGAAAGGGAAATTGGGAGAAGCGTCAAGCTTTGCGACGGAGAAGACACCAGACGGGATGGAATCGTCATAGGTGTAGCGGATGGCTGTAGACAGCATCAGCGATGGAATCATAGCTGTAGACAAAAATGAGGGATACAGGACCATAGTCCCAATGTATGCACCGCAAGCCGGTTGCCCCGAAAGTGAGAAGGACGAGTTCTATCTGAGCCTTGACGATGCCATCAGAACGATTCCGGAAGGCGATTACCTGACCATAGCAGGTGATCTGAATGGTCACGTCGGCAGTGACAGAAGAGGCCTGGAAAGGGTGCACGGAGGTAGAGGGATAGGAGTGAGGAACGCCGAGGGAGAGAGGGCTGGACCTGGCTACATCCCACGATCTGGTGTTCTGCAGCACGACCATGTTATTGTAAGAAGACCGTCTCGAAGCTGTTTAAGACATAACGGTACTCCTAGGCGAAAGACTGGCTCCGAACACAGGCCCCTCCTGGCAGACATTGCCATAGACCTCCCTAAGAAGACAAGGGTAGAACGAGCAGAGAATCTTGGTGGTGGAAGCTGTACCAAACGAAGGACAAGCTCAAACGAGAGTGCAGCATACGGGCCAGATCTAAAAGATTGGTCCCAGACTTAGAGCAACGCTACTGAGGTCACCATAACCTTACGATGCGCCAAGGAGGAATTAAGCGAGACGCGGGGTGGATTCAGAGGAGACAAGGCAGCGTGGTTCTGGAACGAGGAGGTCCAGCGAGTCGTGAAACAGAAGAAGGAAGCATACAAGCGCTGGCAGAAGACCCGGAGCCCAGAGGACCTCGCTGCCTACAAGAGTTGCAAGAGGCTCGCTAAGGCAGCCGTCGCCAAGGCGAAAAACACAGAGATGGACGCCTTGTACGAAAGTTGGGAGCACAAAACGCAGAGAAGTTCGTCTTCAGACTGGCCAAAGCCCGGCATCGGGCTACCCAAGACATCAGGGGTGTGAAGAGTGTGAAGAGCAGCGACGGCGCCATCCTGAGGAAGCCAGCCTGAAGTCAAGAGGAGGTGGGAAGAGTACTACAGTGAGCTTCTGAACGAGGAGTTCCCCCCAGCAGAGGCTACAAATGGTCCCATCGCACCCGGATAGAGGATGAGCTTCGACGAGCAGTAGGGAAGACGGAGGTGGAACGGTGGTCGGTCCAGACGGAGTACCAATAGAGGCAGGCATAGATGGTGCACGGAGAACACGGGATAAGGTGACTCACCCGGTTCCTGAGCACGGTAACCACGGAAGGAAGGATACCAGATGCCTGGGTCTACTACGGCTGATGGCGCAATCCCTATGGGCAAAAATAGGAGGAGGACCGCAGACACAAGACGTTTTGGACCTGTGCGCCGGCTGGTATTGCTTGCACCGGCCCCGGAAGGACAAGGCGCTATCGTCCCCACCATCGAGCCACAAAGGAGTCAGTGGTAAACTGTTTCAAACAACCTCGGGATTCAAGGTCGAACGGCTCATACTATGAAGCTGTATGAGCGGCCGGTTGACTCCGTGTGGGGGAGTTAGTCCCGATCTCCCGCAATAGGTCGGCTTCATGCCTGAAAAGTCCAACCCCAAAATGGGTCCATCTTCTCTTGCCAAGACAAAGTACGGAGATGCGTGATTCCTAACCACCAGCCTTACCTGGTCCGCGGAGTAAGGCGTTCGGACAAGTCTACCGCGTACACTACTATGTAAAGCGCTCTGGGAACGGAACGTGGGCTCTCTGATGAGGGATATGTGCGAAAGAGCCGAAGCAGTTATACGTTCCACTGCGCAGCCTAACAAGAAGGATTTGGAGAACTACGGTGGTCAGCTCTGAGCCCAGTACTAAGATACCATTGGTGAGGGAGTACTGATGGATAAGGACCACCTGAGGACCATCCTCTCTACGCCGACGAAATAGTCTTGATAGCAGACAGCAGAGAAGAACTCTACGACCTCTCTACGCCGACGAAATAGTCTTGTTAGCAGACAGCAGAGAAGAACTCTACGAGACAAGGTGAGAAAAATGGCAGAAGGCGTTGGCAAAGGGAGGACTCCGGTCAAACGTGAAAAAGAAACGACTGCGGACTACCATCGAGAGAGCATCGAAAGAGTAGAGGACTTCCGATACCTTCAGTGCTGTGGATCAGGCAGGAAAGGCAGGGATCAAGACACGAACGAATTGAAGGAGTCCACTGGAATCCTCTGCGATCGAAGGTGCTCCAGAACGCTCAAAGGGAAGGTGTACCGGACAGTGGTAAGGCCTGCGATGCTATACGGCAGCGAGTGCTGGCCCCTGAACAAGAATCACGAAAGGCAGCTTCACTCCGCTGAGATGAGGATGCTGAGGTGGGCCTGCGGCTGGACGCGACTGGACAGGGTCAGAAACGAGGATGTCAGAGCGGTCATGCAGACTGCCCCTGTCCAGCTGAAGGTACGGGAACAGCGTCTGCGATGGTATGGGCATGTGCTAAGGAGGCCACAGGATCATCCGATAAGAACAGCGATGGACTTCGAAGTGAGGCAAGAGACCGTGAGGACCCAAAAAAGAAATGAGGAGAATAACCCTCAAAGAAGAAATGGTGAAAAAAATGAGTGAGGATAAGGAAGGACCCCACTGAAGTCAGGCGCATTGCATAGAATACCTTAGACAGAACCAAGTGGCGACGTCCACCCATAATTGCGGACTCTGTCAAAAACTCAAATACGACCCCGTCCAGGATTGCACAACGGCAGGTTGACTGACCCTTACTAGGGGATGAGTAAGTAACAATAAATTTGAGAAGATATTAGTGCCATTAGGTAAAATGTGCTCTTACCTATAGATTCACACAAATCAAGACGAGGTGATTCGTAATCCCTGAGCAAAAATGAAGTGTTACTGGTAAAAACATACCTTTTGAAGGAGTCTGTGATTTGGAAAAAGACTGCATGTATGACCATCGGGGCCCATGCCAAGAAAGAGAATATCAAATCTTGGTAAACGTCCTATTTGTTCAGGGCACAATGTTGTGCGAAGTGTGGTTTCATATTGCAATGCTGTTTTCGATGCTGAAATATTATCGTTCGTTCGGTGAGTTCAGAATTGCAAAGAATGAACTTTACAAACCAGTATCAGAAATCTCGATGGGTACAATATACTGATGACATTCAGGTGGAAGATTGGCAAGATATTGACCGTAATTGCTATCTGGATCCGAAATGGGAACAATACGTTCGTCCACCTGGAAAACCAAGTACTCTTACACGTAAACGACTTAATCAAATTAACTGCAGTAAAGCGTACTGAATGATCCAACCCTTAATCACCTTCTCTAATAGTCGAGAGCTCTTGAAAGACGTTTAGCAAAACATAGCGCAATTCATTGTAGTTTCCGTTTCTCTTTTTACCGACGACTCTCACCCCGGCCATGTCCCCTAGGCTTGTTCTAGCACCACCTCAAGCGAGGTCTTTGACTTTCTCTAGCAACGTGGGACCGGCGCAATTTCGAAGCGCAACCGCTTCACTTCACATCTGTGGATTTCGAGCGATGAACACACAAAACTGGATCGCACAGATCAGCAATATTCAATGTGTTGACTTGTCTAGAGTACAGTAAGTAGAATATGACTGAAAGGATGTGTCACGCCTACAATGATACACTCCGCATCAGGAGCAGGGTCAACCCTATCGTTGTTACTTTTTCAAAAATTTTTACGACCCCCCTCCCCCAAGGTGGACTTGGTACGACCCCCTTTTCGACCCTCGACCACCATATTCCTCTCTATAGTATTTAATTCTGGATACCACTCAACCCACCAAACTCCGCCCACTTTTTCCTCCAAAAAGTCCAAAATGCCGTCGAAGCGGGGCGGTATATACGCGCGCTGAAACGGCAACTTTTTTCCTACGCCCCTCAACAGTTTCACGTCGAACTCACATGTGGTTTCAAACGGCTGAAACGGGTACGACCCCCCCCTCCTACAAACTCAACCAAGTACGACCCCCCCCGGTGCTTAACGTGGGAGTAACAACGTTAGGGCTGACCTGCTGAGACGACGTGTCAGCACCACTACTTCCGTACAGGACTATTCGAAATTCAGTAAGGGGTGGAACCATATGTTGGGGTAATGGCCGACAATTTGGAGGTGGAAAGAGTCAGGGAACCCTTTCAGCCGGAATTCCGTAATAGCAGCCGTTACTTTTTTGACGCCAGTACAAGGTGTTCCTTAGAGTTGGTTGACGGGCCTTCGCAGCAATCAGAAGCGGCTATAGAGAGGCAAGAGTCAAGCGGACGACGGAGCTTACGGACCAGAGCATTAAAGAACCCAACTTTACATGATATCACTGTTAAGAGATTTCCTCAAAAGTATTCAGACATTGCCGGCCCTCGGGGTCGAGTGCCGCCACGGGGTTCTGTCAACAAACCCAGCATTCGTTGGTGAAGCCTAGACAGTGACAAGATAGTCCTCCACAGGGTCAAGCGTGCGTTGAGGAATCCTCGACACGTCGCAGGGGGGGGGGTCGTATTGGCCCGCTGGGTGGAAGAGATCGAGCCATTTTGATGCAGTGGGATCATCACCGTCGGAAGACAAATATCAAGGATGAGTCGATGCCAGGCCAGAGGATTTCCAATGAAAATGATATTTCACCCACACAAAATTTTCGTGATTCTGAGGCGTCCGGTAATTCTTAGTTACTTCAGTGTTTTATCACCACACAAGTTAAAGAATCTGAATTTCGCACGCTTTCCAAGAGATATTTCATCTTTCAAGTAAGACCCCGAATCTGAAGGGATGTGAGGTACACGGCGCATCCGAGAAAGGGTCTAGTTGTTGCGCGCGCTTCAACTACGGCTCCTTGGACAAACAACCTCAATTCAGGAACAATCGAGAGAATTCTGAAAGTGTCCGTGCGCATTTACAGGGAGGTGTACACCATTCAACATTGCGTTAACGGACTCTTCAGGGTTAAATTTATAAACATGTAACCTTTAAAGTTGAGAAACGCTAATCAATCACTTTTCTTAGAAAGAGAAAAGCAGTGATTCCAAATCTGCTCTTACTTTAGTACATAATCGCCCTTAAAAGGATATACAGCCGTTGAAATAGTGCCAATGTAGCGAAAAAGTACCTTTCGGCGGTACTCGTGCAAAAATCCTCAACGTAGCCGTTTTTTTAATACTGGACGTTTGGAGCAGTTCTAGTAAGCGTTTGATAGAGCAAATCTTCTAGTTTATGATGGCGTATTTACTTTTCGGATTGGATGAGTTTGAACGGAGTTATGGCTTTAGGAAGTAAAAAAACTCGCACTCATCACAAATTTTCCTCGTTAATTTTGCAAAAATCCTCAACGTGGCCATTTTTTGAATACTGGACGTATAGAGCTGCTTTAGCAATGGTTTGGTAGAGAAAATCTTCTAGTTTTGTCTGCCATATTAACTTTTCGAATTTGACGAAAATGAAGCAAGTTGTTGCTTCGGAAAGTGTAAAAACTCGTGCTCATCTCGAATTTTCCTCGTTAATTGACCTAAATTTGTTATTTCTTATAACTTTTTGTAATTTCAATACTGATTAGAAAAAGCTCTTCACAAAACTTCCAAATCTGCTTTCAGATTGAAAATTCGTCATATTTGAAGAAAGTTATAATCATTTGAATATTTGTTCAAATTTCAATAGTAAATAAGCTGCTCCACGGTCAACGCCAAAGTCCAGTCACACACAGCTGGCGAAGGCGGTTAAAAAGCTTCTTTCAACTGAAGGGCTACGTGCAAATTGAGAACCACAATCTGTGTAGTACTAGAATTTGGTAAGTCTTGTGGAGGAAATAAATAAAGAACAGATGTTGTCATGGTATGCCATTTTTAGTGGCTAGTTTGTCGTTTTCTGGTCTGTTTCTCGTTTGCTCGTTTGTTTGGTAGGACTCATCAATAATGATTATTCTTTGACTTTTTCACTTTTGTACTTCTTAAACGAATTTTTTTGTGGGCGGTGGGGTAGCAGGGCTTTTTATGAGCAGTTTTGGGGGAGAATTAAACAAACCTTTTCATAGTTCGGCTTTTGAAGAGGGTTGTTTCATGGACTTCGGCCTCGGCGGAGGGGGGGGGGGGGGGTCGTATTTCCAAATTTTCCTCGACGCCTCGCTTGACCCTGGCCGTGCCCACTCGTAAGCAGTGAAAGTTTGGCGTCACTCAAAGCTCTGAGACCTAATCAAATTTAGTTCAACGAGTCACCTTTGCTTCGACGATTCAGATGCGCTCAACTGATGCGTCTTGGGAACCAACAGCTGCTCGGAGCTTAGAGATCTCCAAAAACTGCTCTTGAACGGGTGGTGAGACAAATTTGGAGACAGCCACTGACGTGTCATACTGATCTCTCCCCATCTACTACAAATCTGTGTGCAAGGAGGTTTGGAGTTTTCAAATGATTAATATCGTCCTTTATCAAACAATAAATTGTAGTTCATAAGACAGGATTTGAACTATTATTTCATGAGATTCGGTAGCTTTTTGAGTTTTCGTAATTTTCGCCAACCCTGTACCTGTCCTCATAATGATACTTCCATCCACAAAATTTCCGGAAACTATCACTTTTAAACGTGTTCGAAAAAGGTTCTAATATAAATGAGTGCTGCGACAGATGTGAATTCGCGTACCTGCACAAAATTCCATCTGAAAAAACGCAAAAAACTCTTCTTCTTTTTAGTTTGGAGAAAAAGCGGCTCTTTCCTTATTCTTTGAATTGTTTTTTTTTCTAGCGGGCTCCTCATTTGCATGTACGATGCGCAGGAGAAAACCTTTCTTAGATTCCAAAATGTGGCAGGCTTGTCTTTTTCAAAAGCCCAATAAAATTTTGGTAAAGCAGTATCAATCACTCGTGTGGGGTGAGACATAAACTAACAGGAATTTTAGAAGTTCTCTTTTGCCCTTATCGAAAAATGCCGATCATAGACCAAACGCTTTCAACTCAGTGGCACGCGATGAGCCTAGAATCAGACTCATTAACTTTTGACCACTGTTGGTAAACATGGGTACCACTTCCTTAAAAATGCACAAAAACTGTCTTGGAACTTATTAAAACCCACATGGTAGCTGAATTGCGTACAAATAGAAGCTTTATAATTCACACCTGACAACAAGACGTCAATGTCAGGACAAGGTACTATGGATGAATTACACTATGCCAAATTACCGCAGAATTAATGGTCAAGTGTATGCAAGACTCCCGGTAAGAAATCGTATAACTTGGTCCCACACTCTTCTCAGTACTGGGGTGTAGTTTGCAAATAGCATAACTAAACCGACAGAATTAATCATTTTCAACATATACCTCCAGGTGACCAAGAAGACGCAACCGTAGGCCTGGTCATGGTCAAAATACGCCGGTCAATCAGCGTGCCTCAGGCCGAATTCCACATATTATGATTCTTGCTGCTAAGAGCGTAGTTACTATGCCCAAAACACCATCGCAATAAACTGGTGAAAAGTACGTAAGTAAGCTTGTCGTTTAGCTAAGACTAATCGTTGCTACCAAGTGACTGTCCTTATTGTGTTCAGAACCTCCCAAGCACCACACTTTGACGAGAAAATTGAAACAAGCACTTTGTCAAAGAGGACCAAAAACAAATAAGGGGGTTAAACTCAATCTCGTCTCGCAATTTTTCTTCGGCATATGTTTCTTGCTAAGAAAAAACATCAGCATGAAGAAAAACAACCCCCATCGATAGAACAATGGACTGTAAACGAAATGCAAGGTAGTCGCAGGGTAGTCTTACAGTCTGTGTCCTTACTGCCAACTAGCCCTTCCATGCCCCCTCCCCCTCTTACTGCCTGGACTGAGAAAGCAGAAGTTGAAGCCTAGACTGAGAAAGAGCATAAAGCCTAAAGGAATTCAAGAACCACGAAAAGGGATAAAGAGAGTTTTCACCGTCTCCCTACATCGGCTTCGCAAAACACACAAAAAAAGTTCGAGAGCTCCACGGCAAATATCCGCTGTCCCAGAAAGGTAGTTCACCCTAACACCTTGACCCGCTGTGCTTGACAATATCACAAATAACCTTTCACGGAAGCCCATGCGCTTTGCTGTGCATTCCATTTTCAAAGAAAGGACCTTCCCAATTCTGCTGCACTATGATACGTCATTAAGTCCGTGGAAACTTTCAGCAAAGGTTCTGAGTAGCTCGACAGAGAACATTCCTTCACATCCCTAGATTTTACTGCGAATTCCTGAGTTGTACAGTCCAGATTTCGACGTTTCAGAAAGCGTATCAAGGAGATTTGACGTGCCACCGCACTTGATAGAAGTCGCATGGATAAGCTGATTAGAATATTTACGGATTTCCAGCCAAGTATATCGGGAACAGCTTATCCACGTAACTTCCATCAAGTGCAGCGACCGCCACGTCCAATCCGTTGACATGCATACTTAGATGACGAGATATAGACTGTACAAAAAGAGAAAAGAACACGTGAATTATCAAAAAAACCGCGTCAAAAGCTCCAAGGAGATATACTTATAACAAAAACCATAGCATGAACTCCGTGGAATACAGCAACTGGGCTATAATATTTACGGAACATTTTTCAGAGTTAAGATTTACAGTTCATGAATGACTATAGATAAGCATCATTAGCAGATGGAGGAATCATTCACCCTCTCTAGATAGATAATGCCGCATTTTGTACATGCATGTCCTTAACCCTTCGACGACCGCCGCTGTGCGCGCGTTGCCTCATTTCTCTCTGAATATTTTCATCAATACCCACCAACACTCAACAATTTCCATTATTATTATTGAGCGTATTTTTTGCGTTTCTAATAGTGTATAAGGGCAGCTTTGATTGAAAGCCTAAAAAACGGACAATAAATGACGAAAAACGAATTCGCCTCCGAGTGAAAGTGTGGCCCACCAGCGGGTCACACGGTCGTCAAAGGGTTGAAGGTCTAAGGACCAAGTGACATATAGGTTACACTAGATTAACTATTGAGTCATGTGAACTATGACCGAAACAGGGCTCAACAACCAAAAGTCTAGAACTACAGTGTGTAGAGACAAGTACAGAAACGAGGAAAAATCACATTTGTAGTATATGGGCAACCTCAGTCAGTTTTTACTGTATCATCCAAGTTTAAATAACTTGTGAGTAATATCTCGTACGCCAATAAAATAAATAAATAAAAATAAGAGCCGATTGAGGATGGCGCCGCGTGGCAGGTCTGTAAAAGCATGCATGCAGGTGCGGCTGCGATCGCCTGGTTGCTAGCGCCATAGGTACTTGAGATTCTCTCACATAGACTGTAAACCTACATGTCGGCCGCCCATTACTAGCGGTCGATTCCGTCATTTATATCGAAGGGCCGGGCTGATCAAGTATAAGGCACGAGGGGAGGGTCCGGCGGGGAGGGGCGAGGGGGCTGGGGGGGGACGGGTGGAGACAGTGACAGGCGCGGGGGGCGGCCGGCGCGGCGGAGAGCCCGCGGCGGGGCGGCGCCGCCCGGCGGGGGCAAGGCCGGTAGGGGGGGCGTCTGAAGTTTTGCCGAGCTCACGGGATGTGAGCAGATCGGTCTCTCTCGGAATACGAGAGGGGAGTTTCCCGAGGTCGTTGCGGACGACTAGGTGATTAACTCTACGTGCTAGAGGGCTCCCCCTGACTCCGAAGCGTCGCCCGATGCGAGCTTCGTTCTCTTCACCAGTTGAAGAGTGGATCTTTCCCCGTGTGGAAAGTAGTTGTGCAGTAGTTCGTACAAGACGACTACAGATGCACGTTGGCCTAAGCGTGGCTCACGTCGCCCTTCTGTGTTCAGAAGGAAGTGTACGTTTGAACATCCTCGGCGAGAAGATGGTTCAATAGTACAAGATGGCAGGTGAATTGCGGACAGTCCCCGTTTCCCTAGCTTGGTTGAAGCCTAGAATCTACAGTAGTAGATTCTAGCACCTTTTGTATATTGATTGGCTCATTGCCAATCATCATTTTGTATATAACTTGCAATAAATGGTTAATTACGAAAAGTGTGTTGTGTTTTGTAATTGGGTACGGTCAATCGTCACAGCTGTTACATAACACCCACTTCTGTCACGAAACTTTGGAGCTCTCGATTCTAACACATTACTGTTTACTGCAATAATAAGGCACTGGAGCAGAGCAACTAAAAATACTGAAGTATAAAAGAAAGCGATACAATGAACGTCAGAAGACCACGGTTATGAAGTGAATTGTTATGATGCGGTGGTATGCTTTGTTCAACTTCCGAAAGAATTTCATAATTATATTAAAGTAATTGAAAGTTCACTTCTGAGCTAATCGCCCTATATTCATTCGGTGGGAAAATGACTTCGGAAGACTAGCCTCGACAAAAGCCAACCATAGTCTAGGGTTTGCAAAGTCGGAATAGCAATGCTAAATTTGACAAGAAATTCAATTTGGGCTTGTAGTCCGGGGGACATTCGCTGCTGATGGAAGAAAACGTATCAAGGGAAGTTGTTCTGTCAGAGCTTTCATGCAGCTAACAAAACAACACATGTCACTAAGCGTAGAATGCACTGAGCCCTTCAGAAAGGCAGCAG